CCCTCCCCCAAAAGCCATGCATTTTTCCCACCATATATATAGTCCCAATATATAGTGCCTGAAAAGGCACTACAACTTCCCTTCAGAGAATCGCTTTTTTCCCTAGGCCCTAGGGTAAGGCACATGACCCAGGCTCAGCCAGTTAAAGGGGTACAACCCTCTGATAGGGTGAATAATGATCACATGACACCATCCAGACCAATGAGAGTCCGTATTGGGACTTTCCCCAGAACTGCTGAAGAACAAAGAGACTTTCTCTACTGGATTTGCTAAGCAGGTAGGATACAAATGCAGAGCTGCTGGGGCCAACCTGTGGAGAAAGCCTGCCCAAGAAAAAAACTCACACACTCAGAAAAAGAAAGCTAAGTGAGAGACGCTGCCTAACATTTGAGCAGCAGGATCCAACCATACCTACAGCTGCACCTGGACTTTTTAGTTACATGAGCCAATAAATCTGCTATTTTTTTAATTGAGTTATAGTCAGTTTACAATAAATCTGTTATTTTTAATTAAGCAAACTTGAGTTAGGTTTTCTGTCATTTGTCATCCAAGGATTCCTGACTAATGTGAGAGGCACAGAGGACTAGAGAGACTGGAGCTGGGAAAGTGGATTTGAGTCACACTATAAAACAAGGTCATGCTATTTCATTATGTAGAAAATTATCACCATCCAACGCATGGAGTTTTTAACCAAATACAGTAAAAAAAGGAGAAGACGAGAGGGTTGGCTCTGATAGGAGGCTCTGATTCAGTGCTAGGCCAAACCAAGAAAAGAGGTCAGAGTGAAGTGACAGGACATGTGTTTAGCAGTCCACGTCAGGTCATGATACAACACTGTCAGAATCTCTCTCTGGAACAGGATGGCGGTGATGCCACTTGAGGAAAGAGATGGGACTTCTCTGAAGGAGGAAGATGGAAAGAACACAGGCTCTGGAGTCAGATGTCAGCCCAGGCTCGGCCACCTGCGCAAGAGACGCCCTAATGACTCCGACCCTCACAGACTGGGGATTCCTGGATCTGACGCACTCGGATGTTGAGGATGAAGTGAGTGGCATCAAGAGCGCACAATGCTGGGCATACAGCAGGCTCTCAATACATGTTTGTTCTTTTGAGAGAGAACACCTTTCCTCTTGACCCCAGGTGGCATCAGGCATGTGGCAAATGCTGGGAACCGGCTCTTTCATCTGGTTCCTTGAAAAAGCCCTCCCAGGAGTGTCACTACACGTGGTGGGGGCCAAGGTCCCTTCCTGGGTTCGTGGAGGAACACATGAGGAAGCTTCCTTCTCTTTCCTGACCTTGTCTCCTCCTTCCCCCTCAAATTCAAGCCCCAACAGGGAGGCAGGAGCCTGAGCGTCTGCCCACAGCGCCGGCCGGGGGAGGGGGTAATTTCCCAGCTCCTACCCGTTCCTCTTGGGCAGGTAGGCCTCCATGTCAAAGAAGACATTCTGCCGCTCCTTGATGTTGGCGCCCATCTGCTGAATGAGCTCTGCCTCCTCCCGACTGGCATGACGCTTGTACCTGTGGTCAGAGATGTGGGCACAGGAGGAACAGGGGCGTTACTCAGGCTGAAGGAAGAATCTGGAAGCTCTGGGCACAGCCCTCCCATCTTTCCATCTCAGTGCTTCTGGCAGCCTCAGTTCTCCATCTGTATTCTCTGGGCTTGATGCTGGCCTCCTGCCAGCCTTATGACCTTGGGGATGTCCTTTAACCTCTGTCTTATTTTCCACTCCTCAAAACAGAGATAACATCGGTCCTACCTTGCAGACAATGGCATCTGAGGATTAAGTAAGCAAATGAAATGCAAAACATTTAGAACACCTGACACATAGTACAAGCTCAGTGGACATCTCTTGGCGATACTATCCTTCTTGCTGGTCTATAGGAACAACCTGGAGATTACTAACAGGACAGACAGGAAGGTGCTTTAAAAGTATGAGCAGTCAACCAGTCAAGGTCTAACTGTTATTCTTTGGTGATATTTAATCTCAAAACTAGAAAAACAAGTCATAGACGTTCTCAGAATCGCAGGGGTCCTTCATGTAAGAACCCATCTTATGGGTCAACCTTCTAACCCAGTGGTTCTCAACTTGGGAAACTACACAATGTCTGGGAACATTCTGGTTGTCAAACAGGGGTGGAGGGCTCTACTGGCATCTAATGGGCAGAGGCCAGGGAGGCTGTTAAACATCCTACAAAGCACAGGACGGCCCTCAGCAGCAAAGACTTATCAGCAGTGCCAAGGCTGATAAAAGACTCCTGAGTCCTGCCGTCGGTGACGTGTTTTTCCAAGGCAGGGTGATGTCATTACATGGACCATCCACACTATACCCCGTGATGAATGGGCCCCCATTTCCAAAATGGCCAGTCAAGGTTAGGGGTATAATCAGTAACCGTCCCAAAAATTGTCCACGAGGGAAGGGAAGAACTGACCAGGAGTCACAAACTCTGGAACGGAGGGCCAGCTAAGTGACCTGGGACAAGCCACTGACAGCCTATTTCCCTGCCTCCTTAAGGGGTCACAGCATCCACTGGGCCCCTTCACCTGCAGGGGATGAGAGCACTTCCCAAATCATGAAGACAAGGGACGGGGAAGTGAACAGGTGACCCTGGCCTCAGGAACTGAAGGAAGCCATGAGCTCAAGCACATCCCCAGCAGGAATGCTGGACTTCTGACCCCCTCACCAGAGCCCCTGGGGGGGGTGAGCCCCCACACCCAGGAGAAGGGTACTTGCTATTTATCTGCCCAATAGGACTTCTCTTAACAACTTTCCTCTGGGAACTACATCTTATCCTCTCTCCCCTCCTATATGGTTCAAGTAGGGCTGTCCTATCCCCCAGGCCCATAAACTGAGTATATGACCGAGTCTTGCCGAAAAAGAGGCTCAATGACTGGTTTGCAGATGGGCACGTGACCAATTCAGCCAATGAGGCTCACACCCAGAACTTTTGCTGAAAGACGAGTTCTCATGCTGCTGGGCTGGCCAAGCCAGTAGGAAGAAAGGCTACAGGATAAAAGCCTGGCACTGCTGGTGGCCATCTCAGTGACCACCACAGCCTGAGAGTGACGCCAATCTTAAGGAAGGAAGATTTCAGAGGGAAAAAAACCAGATTCCTAAAAACACCCTTTGATCCCCCCGGATCAAGTCATGCCTGAAGCTACTCCTGGTTTTTTTCCATCAAGATTTCCTTTCTCTGCTCAAGCCAGTTTTGACTTGGGATTCTGTCCCTTAAAGCCAGGGGAGCTTTCAGCTGCAGCGCCACCTACCTCTGGAGCGTGTGCTTCAAGTCCTTCAGCCGCGTCTTCTGCTTGTTGATGGAGCAGCTGCACAACGTCTGGAGTGCTGTCAGCTCCTCCAGCTTCTGCCTGTAGATCCTGTGGGTTTCCTGAGGGATGGAGGGGCCCAGGCAGGGTGTACAGGAGAACATAAAGGGGTCATTTTTCACCGTGTGCTTGTGTCAGGGGATATGACTACAGAAGTCACAGTTTGACAGTTCAGATGCTACAACTACAACTATTAAAGACGTGCCTTATAAAACTGGGACTGGCTCTGGGGAAGCCAGCACAGCACTTGTGTAATAAGGACCTGCTGGGTCTTTTCCTGCACAGGGGCCATCCCTCCTGATGGGAACAACAACCAAATATGCCCCTGAGGAGTCAGCCCCCTCTTGTCAATTCCTAGTCCAGATGGTTTGAAGAGAGCTAACAGTCCCCATGCCAAGAGTGATCATGTGATTCAGGCTTGGCCAATCAGTATCCTCGAATCCCCTGGCAACTGACTGGTTCAGAGGCGGGCACATGGCTCAAACTGGGCAAATGAGAGTCAACGCTGGGACTTTACCTAAAAGTATTGGTTTAGAGATACCCCTTTCTCCTGGGTTTGCTCATCTGATAGAAGGTACACCTGGGGCTGCTGAGTGGCGAGAGCCTGCCTAAGAATGAAGCCAAATAGGAAAACAGAATTGAGACATGGCAGGAGACAGAATTCTCACAGCATCATTTCAGCCCTTGGATCTACCAGATCTGAGTGTCATGCTATCTAATACTCTTGGTTCTGTGAGTCAATAAATTCCTTTTCACTTAGTCCAGTTTGAGCTGGGTTTCTGATCCTAGCAATGAAGAGAGTTCTTGCTACGTCAGCTAAGAAAAGGACATACCTCTTTCCTTGAAGCCAGCCCTCCCCATCCCAGGCACAGTCACCCCGATAAACTCAGTGTCTTATTCCTGGAAATAACCACTCAGGGCCACAAGGCCAGAGGAAATATGAGAGACTTCACCCCAAAGCAGGGAGAGTGGAACACAGTGACTTCTCCACATTGTTGCCACAGCACACATCCCCCAAAATAACACCATATGCAGGAAAACAGCCAGTTTCCTCTAGAGTTCTGATGACCTAAGACAAACACCAACAATTTAGAGAAAACAATGGAGGGGATGGGGACCATAAAATTAAAAACAATAATACAATGAACATATTTAAAGCGGCGATTTCCTTGGGTGCTAGAGAAATGCACTTATCAGAAGGAGAGAAAACGGGGGGATGGTCAAACAGTGAGGCCAGAGCCTAAACTCTCATGTCTGCCAAGAGGGTTCCTAGATATGAAGGTTAAGACAGAAAATAAGGGATAGTGAAGGCCATGAAGTGAATAAATAACAGTTGGGAGCAACAAGGAAGAATGTTGTGAGCAAGTCTCCTTTGGCCCTCAGGTGAGAGGGCTCGGTCCCCTGGACTTACAGAGTTTCCTCACTCTTTCCTGGACCCCCAGAGAGGAAAATCATGTCTCTTTTTAAATTTAACTTTCAATTTTTAGGTAATCTCAAACTTCAAAAGACTTGTAAGAGGACAAAGAA